AAGATGCTGGATGTGGAGGTCCTGGGCTGGTGCGGTTACACGTGGTCTGCGGTTGTGAGGCTGGTTGGATGTACTGCCGAATTCTCTGAAATACCTTTGGAGACGGCTTATGGTAGAGAAATGAACATTCAATTCACGGGCAACAGCTCTGGTGGACATTCCTGCAGTCAGCATGCCAATTGCATGCTCCCTCAAAACTTGCGACATCTGTGGCATTGTGCTGTGTGATAAAACTGCACATTTTAGAGTGGCCTTTTATTGTGGCCAGCCTAAGGCACACCTGTGCAATAATCTATTATAATAGTCTAATCCACATCTTGTGCTGTGTCTTTTTAAAAACATAATTTATATATATATATATATATTCTCTCTCTCTCTATATATATATATATATATATATATATATATAAACAAAACATATTTACTGATTTAATATATAAATTATTTTATTGTTTTTAGTGCTGTCAAACAATTAATTGGATTTATATATACATAAATATACACAGTACACACACGTTAAGTAAAGAAAAACATTTACTTTGGATGAATGGATAAATACACAAACATGCATGTATATACATTTACATGTTTTTATATATATATATAAAAACATGTAAATGTATATACTGTACATGTATGTTTGTGTATTTATATATACATAAATATACACAGTACACACACGTTAAGTAAAGAAAAACATTTATTTTGGATGCGATTAATCGTTTGACAGCACTAATTGTTTTATAGCCTGAAACATCCCGGCAACATCATGTAGACATGCTAAACCACTCAGAACACCTTGGCAACTATGTAGTAACTGTAATGTGTCTGTTTCTGTTCTGCTTTTAGTTTCTGTATTTCCGTTTTCCTGAGCTCCCCTGTTGATCTTTTTCCTTAGCTGTCAATTAACTCCACACTTGTTTCTGTTCTCACTGATTACTTTCCTCCAGTTATTTAAGCCCTGTGTTATCCTCAGTTTCTTTGCCCTGTATTGATGATGTTTTGATGTTTGATGTTGTATTCTCCCCGTGATTCTCCTGGATTTATTATTAAATACTACTTATTCTCAACTCCTTCGTCTTGCACTTTTTATACAGCCACACGTAACCGCAACATATATAGCTGCTTTTTTCTTTGGAAAAAGTACAAATAAAATATTTTTTAAAAAGGCAAGAAATTAATATATCATTTTATTTATTGTTTGTTATTAGAGCAGTGTTTAATATTATTTATATGGTTATAGTATTTAGTAATATTTTAATTAGCTTCTATTTAAATATTTTTAGTTTTTGTTTTAATTGAAGATTTAGTAATTTTGTTATTTGTTTATTTTTTTATGTTTCAATTAGCTTTTTTTCAGTTTTAGTAACTGTAGTACTTAAATATTTAAGTTGCCAAAGCAAATTTCTAATTTGTGTATAAGATTTTCAGCTAATATTTATATTTTATTTCATTTCATGTTTTTATTTTGAATTAACAAAAACAAATTAAATAGTTTTCCATTAGCAATAACAGTACTGGGTTAGAGTTGCTCATTGCATGTTATTGTCTCACACTGATGTGTAGTTTGCCAGGGGTGGTGTCCTAAAAGACTTTATTGTTCTGTCTGCGAGGACATTAAGGGGGTGGGTTTGTGCAGACGAGACTTCTCAATTATTCAGTCCCCCGTACTGAGACGGACAGAGTGTCGACGTCTGCCCATTCCAGCAGAGCGTTCCACAGACACTTCAGGGTCATGCTACATTTATTATGTGATTATTTGTGCAGACATCATGTTTGTCTGTTAAACCCTACATAATTTTTGTCAGGTAACTTAAAAATTTTGCTTAAAATGTTCATTCCTTGGCTGTTTTTTTAATTTATTGTTTTTAATTAAGAGGTTTTAGGCACTTTTAGGCTGGCCAGACTGGAAAATTAACTGCAGTAAACCAGGGGTAACTAATGAACTAACTAATTAACTAACTAATTAACTGAAAGTAGGGCTGCATAATTAATCAAACTTGAAACAAATCATAATATAGCTTAGTGCAATGAGCATAAGAAATGCTGCAACTTAATGAAATAAGTGTGTAGTCTGATGCGCTGCGTGTTTCAGAGTGAAGCGTGGCACTGTGGTCTACACACACACAGTTTATAATCCAGTGTTTTCAGTGTCTCAGAGCGGCTCGGTTCACAGTAAATGCAGCCAACTCCATCTCTGCATGTGCTGTGAGTTTAACACACATTTGGGAACACACAATGTGCAAGGTTAATTTTATATACACATTTACATAATTTCCAACATTTTTGTAGACAGAGGTTTTCAGAATTTCACTAGTATTCCACACACACATACACAAAAAAGCTTGAGGATTTGAAATTTAAAAAACTCAAAAGTTTGAATGTTTGTAAATGAAGAACTTAAGAAGTAAGGGTCTACATTTTAGTATTGCCACTTGTAGCATAAAGTAAAATAATTTTTATTATAATTATCTAATAATCATTTTTTATTTTTCGATTTAATACTGTAATAATAATAATTATTATTGTTATTATTATTACATACCATTGTATTGAGTTCCCAAAACACCAGTGTGACTATAATGTGGAGTCACAATTAGTCGTACGGCACTAAATATGAATAATTAAAACAAAAAAAAACAATACAAAACGATTCAGTATTTTATCTGTTTACTTGCATGTCATGTGACCATTAATCAATATCAGAGAACCTTGAACATTTAAACATGTTTTTGAATTATTGAAATATTAATTTCAGGTAAATATATCACTTCTAAGGCATTCGGCTGACAAAGACCATCTTACACCTGCTAAGACCAGCAAACCACCTTAGGCTGGTCTGAGCTGTTTTTTTTCAGCAGGGTTTATTTAATGCAGAAATATTTCTTTAAATTATATAATCAATTGGACTGCATGAGATTATGCCACCAAAGTAATTTTTAACATATTTGGTTGTTGAAATAGCACAACTTGGTTTTGACATCGTCTTGGAAGACGACGAGTCAGAAAGAGGATGTTTGCGTCTGCGTCACACTTGTTATGAATCCGGCTTGACTTCCTGGCCTCTAATGCCTGTTTATTTGTCATCTGACCTTCACAGGAGTTGCTGGAGAAGTTCATGGAGGGCCACGTGCCCCTGGAGGAATTCCTTGATTCTTTTCAAAGCCACAGGAAGACGTACCATATCCGCCGCGCTCAAGCCGAGAAGCTCCAGGAGCTCAACAGACCCGACAGGAAAGCGAAGAAACAGGAGGAGGAGCTGAAGAGGGAGGAGGAACATAAGGAATCCCGGCCAAATGGCATCAGCGCACACGGCCCTCCTCGTGTCTTCCAGCTCCGATATGGTCTGACCCCGGCCATCCTGCTTCCGCTTTCCTCTTCCTCCGCTTCGGTCCTACCTCCTCTGGACTCACGCTCAGGCCAGCTGCAGGTTTCAGGGCCTTGCGCCCGTCACTCGTGCCCCAGGCAGCCCGTCGGCCTGAGAGTAATAGGACAGTTACCCGGGTGGCCGGTGAGACCGGTCCGACTGCAGCAGCTGTACAGGCCCAGTCCCCATCAGCCCGAACCTCCGTGTCGATAACACTCGGCATCATGAGTTCGGCATGAAAGCGAAGTTACGCTAAGACCACGTGAAGCCTTCATTGAGACCATATGTAAAAATGATGCTGCCATGAAATCAAACATTCATGTTACCCAAAAAGGGAGGAGAGCGGAAAGCCATAAAGTATTTGTTAATGTCGCTTGTCATTGTTGCTTGTTCGTTTAACTTCGTTCTGTTTCGTATTTGTGTGGGTTTAGTCAGGACGTGGCAGGAGTTTAGCTGCTGTTTGTATGAGGGAAGTGCCCTGTTTCTTGAGACACTGCTTTTTGACTGGAAGGTCTTTTGGGCCACTGAGGGACTTGTAAAATAGCACCTTTTTGTAATGTTTATGGGTGTTCAATAAAGTCTAATCATGATGTTTATTTTAAACCTATACCTTGGTTGTTTCGTATTTTATTTTCTGTTTCCTGCTCTTAATTTTAAGGCTACACTCAAAAAACGTTTTTTTTTTTTTGTGTGTGTGTGTAGAATTACTCTTAAAACACAACAAATTTACCTAAAATTCAAAAATGAAAAATTGAAAAATTTGCATTGTGGTATTATTTTAATGACAAAGTTTTATTAAAATTATTTAAAATGTAATATTATTGTGAACTATATTAATTTGTAGAAATTTACAGTTATTTAGAATATTGTGAATTACTTTTTAGTTTTCTTTAGTGCACAGTTCTCATTATTGCAATGCACCCGGATAGTTTATGTAGTTGTTTTTATTTATTTATTATTCACTATATTCTGAATGCTAATTAATTTTTAAAGGGTTAGTTCGCCCAAAAATGAAAATTCTGTCATTAATTACTCACCCTCATGTCGTTTCAAACCCGTAAGACCTTTGTTCATCTTCGGAACACAAATTAAGATATTTTTGATGGAATCTGAGAGCTGTCTGACCCTGCAGAGACAGCAACGCAACTGAAATGTTCCCAAGTCCAGAAACATAGCAAGGAGATCTGTAAAATAATCCATGTGACATCAGTGGTTCATCCGCAATTATACGAAGCTACGAGAATATTTTTTGTGTGCAAAAGAAGAAAAAAAAACGACTTTATTCAACAATTCGTCTCCTCCACATCACCCTGGTGCCATTTTGGAGAATATCCCCTGGACGTAAACGTTTGTATGCTGTTCTGTGTCAGCTGCGTCACGCCGGATACGCTGTTTTCGTTCAGATCAAATCACAACAACGTAGGAAACAGATCCGGCGTGACGCAGCTGACACAGAACAGCATACGAACGCTTACGTCCAACGGATATTCTCCAAAATGGCACCAGGGTGATGCGGAGGAGACGAATTGTTTCTGATTATTGTCGGAATTTTTGTTCCGAAGATGAACGAAGGTCTTACGGGTTTGAAACGACATGAGGGTGAGTAATTAGTGACAGGATTTTCATTTTTGGGTGAACTAACCCTTTAAAAATTAATTAGCATTCAGAATATAGTGAATAATAAATAAATAAAAACAACTACATAAACTATCCGGGTGCACTGCAATAATGAGAACTGTGCATAAAACTGTCACAATGCAAAAATATTAGTATTCCTAAAATAAGTTTTCTTCAAATCAATTATTATTGAAAATATTACAATCACTCAATAAATAACCTAAAAAGTAAACCATCCAGGCACATTATTGTAATGAGAACTGTGTGTAAACTGTGCATAAAACTAATGTCACAATGCAAAAATATTAGTGTTCCTAAGATGTTTTCTTGATAGAAAATAGAGTACTATTTATTTTCTTCTGATTTTGGGCTGAAATGTGACCCAGACATATTTTTGTGAGATTCACCCTATTATTATTTTTCTATCAGATAAGTTTTGTTATATTAGGGATTTTCCTTCCAAGTAAGACACAATAAAAAAGATTACAAGTGTAGGTTAGATGAACTCATTATGTATGTTTGTCTGTGCGAGACTCGTTTTACAATAAGAACGGTTCAGATGGAGTAATTATTATTGACACAGCTGCAGCTGAAGTCTTTGAAAGCCCAAATTTTCTAAACACTTTGTTGTTTCAAGTTTTTTTTTTCAGCCATTGCAGTGGAGTTTGTATTCAAAAAGCATGGAGACGCTGCTGTCTTCGACTAAGCTCTCAGACGGCTGATTTTGCTACAGGGTTACTCTTAAGCAACAGTTGAGCAGGGTTACAAATAAACTCAGATTAGCACAAAGTACATTAAAATAAGTGTGCTCTTAAACCAGCGCCAATGAAAATCATATCTAAGATTACTTATGGAAATCCAGTAATGGAATATCCCATGTGGACTTCAAACACTTTTTATTTGTTCGGTTTGATTTCCAGGCTGGAAGGTTCTGTGTTCACTTTCAGTGAAGATTGTATTTTGAGCAGCGATGGGAAAATATGTTGCATTATGAATTATTGCAAGAGATGGAGTGGAGTTATGTACCTTTACTTTTATCATCCTGTAGGGATCAGTAAGAGATGTAGAGCAGAAGTGTTTACTAACCTACACCTGTTTCTGACATGAATGGAATTCTTCAAAAAGTTGCAAGTGCCAAGACCTAAACAACACTGTATTTGCACCCATTATTTAAATCTGAACCTTTTCAAAATACAATTCATCTTAAAATAAAATTTATTTTAATATGTATTTTTTTCAAAAGTCCAAAATGTCAGGGTATTACAATTGTCAAGAAAGGGAAAAAAGTAAAAAAAAAAAAAAAAAACTATTTTACTTTGACTATTTTATAGTATTTAATGTCTACAATGTGTACACATTTTTATTAATTTTTATTTAAGTTTTTCAATTTGTCACCTCATTTTAGGTAAATCGTGGCCAAATTTTTTAAAGGGTCATATGATGCGATTTCAAGTTTTCCTTTCTCTTTGGAGTGTTACAAGCTGTTTGTGAATAGATAAGATGCCTAAAGTTGCAAAGACTAAAGTCTCAAAACCAAAGAGATATTCTTTATAAAAGTTAAGACTCGTCCACGCCCTCCTAAAACGCCTCGTTCAAACACGCCCCCACATGTCTATGTCACTGTGTGGGAAGATTTTCATAACGCCGCCCAAATGTTCATGCAAAGAAAGAAGGCGTAACTTTATTGTTGCTGCCACCGCCGCCGCCATGCTGTGAAGATGCTGTGTGTTTCGTTGCGAAAGTGAAAAAACTTTGTTTGGCCTTCCAAAAGAGGGCACAACTAGAAATCAGTGGTTAAGTTGTATTTACAACATTGTTCCAGAACATTTCAACCCAAATATTCAGATGTGTGCAGCACATTTTATGGAGGACTGTTTCCTGAACCTGGGAGAGTAGACTACAATGCCGGCTGTTCTGACTCACAGACTGTAAGTACGTTTTCATATTTAAAGGATTTGCCACCAACGATTCAAACACGAGTTTTGAGCAGTGTAGAGTAGGGCTTGTTGTTTGTCATTTCTCTGATCACATATGCAGACATGGTTTGATGTTTACGCGGTGCGATGCAACGCAACACGTAAAAAGACAGTATAAGTCATTATAATCAGTAATTATGTCCCCACTGGATGCAACAAATGCCTTGTTTATAATGGGTTTTAATGTTTTTGGCTCGTCGCGCAGGGACACAGGGCATCACAGTATGGTGAGGGGCGTAACATTTCCGTCAAACGCTTGAGGTATTCGGCCAATCACAACGCACTGGATAGCTGGCCAATCAGAGCACACCTTGCTTTTCAGACCAATGAGCTTTGTAAAAATCGACGCGTTTCAGAAAGGCGGGGCATAGAGGAGCAACAATAATGTACAGTATGTGGAAAATAATGTGTTTTTTAAAACCTTAAACCGCATAAACATATTTCATTACACCAATTACACAAAATAATGTTCTTTTTAGCAGAATCATATGACCCTTTTAAAACTTTTTTTGAAAATAATAATTATTATGTGTACAGTCATATGTATTCAAAGTGCATGGAGCCGATATATTTTGTATATATTGTACATATTTTGTGGCCACAAATTCCCACAACTTCATTCCCTTGTTTTAGGTTAATCATTTTTCCACATTTTCTTTACCTGCATGTTGTGCTAATTAGTTTTAATTTAGTTAGATCATAGCCATTATTTAATTAAAATGAGAGAGGAAATAAGTACAATGTGGCCACAATTTAACTAAAACGAGGGAATTAATTAGTAAAACATGGCCACTAATTAATAAGTCATGGGGATGAATTCTTAACTTGTGACAATGTCATCTCATGTCATATCTCATCTCATGTCATCTCATGTCATATCATGGCTCAACAAAGGTGTAAGAAAAAATAATTTTTAGTAATTTTTTGCTTGATGGTTACACCACATGACGTTATTAGAGTTATTAAAATTAAACATTTCTTGAAAATGGTAATCAAATGAAGAGTTCAGATGCAAAAGCCTCTATGTGCCATCTTAAATTTTCATCTAAAATGAGCATTTTTATCAGGCTCCTATATATATGTTCAGTTGTTTCACTTTAATAGCATAGAAAAGGACCTATACATTGCCATTAAAGTAAAATCACTAAACCTATAGGAGCCTGATAAAAATGCTCATTTTAAATGAAAATTTCAGACGGCACCTAGAGGCTTTTGCATCTGAACTCTTCAAATATAAAGCCAACTTGAACACAAAGAGTAGGCCTACATTTCTAAAAAACTGGCACAATTATCAAAGAGATTCAAATATCCAACAGATACTGCACTGTGGGGTCCACAGATATCTACAGTGTACAGTAATGGAACTAGGCAAATATATGATTTGTTTTGTGTTTTTAAATCAAACCCCTGTTTTCCTGATGCTGTGGTGAATCCGGCCTCAGTAGGATATGAAACTCACTCAGTAGATCATCTAATAATTAGCACAATAATTAGCATGAAGCCTTGAGGCACAATGGTTTCTGAGAACATGAAGCCTCTTCTCGGCGTCTATGAGCTTTCAGACATCCCGTCATAGTGGCAGCGTCAGTCTGTGAGGTCAGACAGAGTCCACATCTGTCAACCCATCAGCACATCTAGCATACACTGTAAAAAATGACTGTGAATTTAACGGCAAAAGACTGTAAAAATGGTTAACGGTGAATTCCCCTACTATATACAGTGAAAAACTGTATTGGACATTACATGTAATTTTACGGTAGTATACTGTTTTGGAAGTGAAAAAGACGTATAATTTACAGTGAATAATCGTAAATTGACATTCCCAGAATTACCAGCGTTACATTTCAAATTTGATGTTTTTTTGTTGTTGAAATAACGATGTTTCTTCTTAGTTCCCTTTCAGTCGGTCACTCCAAGTCACGTCGGTGACCGACAGATTGGGATATCGCTTCGATAGACCAATCTACTTCGAGTGTAAACTAAACGAGCCAATGCACATTGGCATGCAATTATT